ATAAATTGTACAAAACCATGTCTTTTGCATAACTATTAATGAACATATTTTAAGAATTTGTCAATACAAGAAAATACTTACAAGAAAAAGCTGCAAAAGCAATGTTTGGGTTGTAACAAAAAATGTAGAAAATATAAATTATCTATTAAATGTCTGTTAGATATATTCAACAAAACTATTTATATATGGTTCTACATTTATTTTTAAGTGGTTTGAAAAAGATCATTTGCGATTCAGGAAACTTTTACTACATAACATTGTATGCTGTACGGGGACATATACAGCGGTGCGTGATCAGAACTGTCGGATTTTAAACTAATGATACAAGTCCGGTGCACAGTCAATACATGCTGAAAACATGCCCCCCCCCCCCCCCCCCAAAAAAAAAAACAAAAAAAAAAAAAACAAATCCTAAAATATTTAATCATTTTACAAATTATAAGAAAATAAGATTATGAATTTTCAAATGTGTTCCTCACAAACAGTTTCACAAGCAGCAATTATTTGAGCAAAATATTAAAACCAATCAAAAACATGAATTTTACAATTGTATCCACCGTTGTAAATTTAAAATGTGAATTTTGGTGCATCATTGTATGAAATGAAAGGACTCTTGCACGATTACATGTACTAAGGATTTAATGTATATACATTTTTTTTCTAATTGCGTTGCATTTTTCATACATTGTTATAAATTATAACTCTAAAGTATTCTTGTTTTAATAGATTATTTGATATTTAAACGCTAAGCCTCATTTTTCTTGTAAGATTATTATACTGATTTTAATATTCATTCAGACAAAACTTTATTTTGTAAAGTGTAGACTTCATCATTAAATTGTTTTCATTCAATAATTGACTTTTCGTCTATTGTTTGCGTTTCTTTTTTGCCTTATGGATCCAAATGATCGCATTAGAAATATTGTCATCACTTGGTGTCTATGGTATTTCGTCCGTAGTGTTATAAGTAAGCCGAACTTTATATTTCAAATATACATTGACCTAAAGCAATGCAGACATCTATGTAGCATAACAATGTATTAAAATTTAAAAAACAGCGATAAAAGCTAGTTTTATCCTGCCACATGTGTCTATCTAATATAAATAGTTTGTCGTAGTTGTCTTTGTTATACCCTAGTGTGTTAATCTTATGTTGATGGCAGATCTTGGTCATATCCAAAATACCAAAGTAACAACCCACAAATGAATTACTTTAATTCTGATAAAAATAAAAATACATAGTTATCGAGAACATATCTAAACATAACTATAAGGTTACATCATTGCATGTGTGAGTGAAAAATATATACAAATTAAATCGCTAGGAAGACTGGCTTTCATATTTATAACTTTGATACACGTACATGACGTAATTTTTAATTTTTCCAATATTTGACGAGTTAAATATAAACCATCAACCATACATGTAAGACGAAAAAGGACCATACCATGATAAAAAGATGAAATAAGTACAAAATTTATTTAAGACACCGCACAGAAAACTAAACCTTGAGATAGAACTGAGGTAAACTGGGGTTAATGTGCACAAGGTCATGTTTATTCCATACTGCTTTTGAAGTCATTGAAAAGTTTGTACGGTGACCTCTTGTTGCTAACATCCCAATCCTCTGGTCTCTGGTTGATAATTGTCTCATGGACGGGATTGTGTCTACGAGAAATAGAACATATCCATAGACGTATTTGACACATATATTCTATAACGACCAGCTATATCATGAAGGAGTCATAAAACCTTTGAAAAGATGGCTTCAATTTCAACATAAGGAATATAAAAATAAGAAGATGTGGTTTGATTGCCAATGAGACAACTCTCCACCAGAGGCCAAATGACATAGAAATTAACAACTATAGGTCATCGGACGGGTGCTTACACAGCTTCCTTACAAATCTTTGCATATCGCATCACCTGGAAAATTTATATATTTTGTACTTTATTTGTAAGTGCTGCTGGAATGTTGCCACATGAAAATTGGTATTCATTTTGTCGCAAAGTTGAATTATCAACCTAACTTCAGCATCAATATTAAGTTGTAAGACAAAATATATGAAATAGTCCTTTCCTGTTTGAATTGTTTTACACTAGTCTTTTGGGGTCCTTTTCAGCTTGCTGTTCGGTGTGAGCCAAGGCTCCATGTTGAAGGCCGTACTTTGACCTATAATTGTTTAGTTTTTACACATTGTGACTTGGATGGATAGTTGTCTCATTGGCACTCATACCACATCTTCTTATATCTTACTGCTGTTAGTCTCTAACGGTATCATCAGTTCAGTAGTCCGTGCTTCAGTAATGACATGATTTACAACATAGTTTCTAAAATACCCGTTGATAAATCCAGAAATTACTAAGAAACTAAGTTCCGAGTGTCTCAGGCAAATTTGACTTTAACTGAATTTGGCTAGTCTCTAAGGTCCCTTTGGTTTTATTACGTTTCTACGTATTTTTCAAATTTGAACATTCCTAAGTTTCGGACGCAGGCAATTTATAAGTATTAGTTTCATTTGCTAACACTGTGTACCGCTATATATGTGTTCGCCTCTTCATAGTCATACCTCGCTAACAAGGCGTTAAAAATTACAAATCAATCAAACATGCTCGAGATCACAATTGCGTTCAAAATTGAGGAGGGATGTGTTGGAACGGAATATGCTTGCGACGAAAAAACAAAGATATAAATATAAGAAATAAATATAACACGATGATTGAAAGTGTAATGTGTAAGCCCATATATCCGTTTCACCGACTTTTTGAACGAGTTGATAATACAAACTTAAATTTGATAAATTACATTAACTTCATGTTTGTATTTATAACATCTTGAATGATTAGTTAAAATTTTCAAAATCTAATTTCAGAAGTTGTTTAACAGGTGTAAATGTACAATATTATCACAACTGGTTTTTATTCGGTGCATTTCCTTATGTCTTGATATTCAGTCCTTTAAGTTGTATTTCATAATGATACAGAAATCTCCTTCATTACCACAAATTAATTCAATCATTAGAATGTTAAGATATAACGTAGAGTATAATGATATTTCAAGGTACAGTGTTATAGAGATCTAGTGTTATTAAAATAAGTCAATATAATGCAATTAGGAATTTGATACAATCCGAACTGTTGCAAAATGAATAAGGCAACGTCTGACTTTAAAATTGTTTTTGTTACTCCTGATGTTGTTTGAAACGTGATGATGATGATGATGATGATGATGATGATGATGATGATGATGATGATTTAACTGCATCAGGAACGCTAAATCTAGAAATTTTAAAGCCAAAGATGTAGGAATACTTTACGCTGTAGGAGCTATATGACCAAAATGGGCATTTAATATGTAACCATCAACGGTCAACTTTGTTTGAGGGAGTTGGAATATTAGTTTACTAATAATTTCTAAATGTACCAACGGCAAATTCAAGAATTATAAGTCATATTTCATGGAAGTGGCGAAGCATTGACTACTAGACTAAAGTGTTATCACAATATCTGTTTAGTTTTCAATGACAATTCGAGCCAATAATAACATATTTGTTACATTTGTGCGTTCTTCACTATTTGTAAGGTTATTCACATACAGTACAAACTTATATACAATAAGGGGCATGTGTAATTAACGTTTTGTAATCCACATTTTATAGAGTTAAAGAGAACTTGGTTGATTTTATGTACACATTTGATAGGCCCTACAGAACTATTTTTCTTACTTCTATGTCCTCTGTATAATATCAGCATTAACCGACAATACCGACTACGATGCGCGCGACATGCATTTCTAGAATAGTTTTCATTTTCCTGAATAACAAATATATAATATACGCTTCTCAGAACTCCAAATATTCAAATCTGTATTTCAACACATTTTACGGATTTTTCTTAATATAGAGACTGTTAGATGATGTAGAGAGGAACATCTATACATTTTGATATCTAAAATGATTAATATCAGAATAATTATTGCATTCCTATATTGACAAAGAGTACATATGTAGTGAATATAGATCTCATAGTTGCTACCATAATCCAGGGCGTGTGGTTTCTACTTTGATTTCATTGGTAGACTATAGCTGATTAAACGAAAGCTATGAAAACTTTGGGCTCTTGGTGGTACAATTGAATTAATCTCTTCAAAAGTTTAACGAACATATTTGAGTATAAATCCATGAAATATTTGTGTCATATATCAATGACTGTACCGTTTTCGTAGACACAACCTCGTTCTCCTTTCCTCGAGGATAGGATCAATGAATATGACGTATAAACTTCTCATGAGCAAGGCAACAGTTGCCACCACTAAAGCAGGATTAACTATTACTAGCCCTTCGTAGCACCTGTTTTTATAGAAGTTCATGTTATTTTGCCTTTGTTTTAGTGAATTGTGTTTGTGATTCTTCATTTATTAATGTCTTTGTTTTTACATCGGTTATGGTCTTATTTCTCCTTTCTCTTGCGAAACTTTCAATTTCAAACTTTAACATTCGGCCATGTTTGAAGGTTGTAGAATTGTACTGTTTCTCTTCACCGCATTCGTGGGGATCGTGCAAATACTGAAGAACTGACTACTGGTATAAAAAATGAACATTTTTTCTCTGAAAATATTATTGTAATGAGAGTTTATTTCTTTTCAAAATAAACTCATTTCTCCAGTTTAACTATTAAAGTAAGTATTACAAGAAAGATAGAGCAAAACACTACATAGAGGTACCATTTACATATCATTTTGAAACAGTCACCTTATCGTATTTTGAAGATACAAACCCTGCACTGAATGAATTTGGTTAAGTTAATATAGAAAGGAACGTGAATGGCAAAATATTCGACGCTAGGATAGCTATTTGTCCAGGAAGAAAAACAATTCATTAGAAACGTGTCTTTAATCTAATTAACAGTTCCTAATTATCAGAAAGTAATATCTTCGAAAATTGTTGTTAATTGTTACAATTTGACGTAAAATTGGAAAACTTCTTAGTAAAACAGCCGCTCTTTAAATATAGGTTTAATAAGGATACTCTATAATGTGTGCAGGTCTTTACAAAAAAAGACTTGCATATGTCTTGTCAGATGTACAGAGACAAGAAGAATTTCCATGTTTATCGTTGTATATCATCTTTCAAATATAGATTAAAGTGTCATGTACATTTGCAGATTTGTTTATTTATGTACATCCATGAGAAGAAACATGGCTAAAATAAATGTTAACATATCTATTTTGGTTTTGTAAGTCTTGTAAAGAGATCTTTGTGCTGCGGAAATTTTGCAATCAGTTGTTCCTTATTGCCTTCAGTCCAATCTTTCAATTCCCAACCTAAAATATAAACAGGCGACTAATATGAAAATGTGAATTGCAGAAAAGAATGTGTAACTATTATATCATAAGGGCTACTTCATCAGTATTTTATCCTGTTTAATTTTTAACACAAAATTTTAAACATACTGCAAATCGAACAACTTAGTTTGACATGTTTTATATGTTTTCTTAAAGCAAATGAATGTTTATTCAACCAACAGAGTAAAAGTATTATCTTTTTAGTACATGAACTATAGATTACATGTATATTATACAATAAACTCTCAAATTGAGAACATGATTTAAAAAAAAAAACACTCTTTATTTATTTCGATAACAATTATTAGATATGGTACGACTTCTGTAAACTACTATTGGCTCTAATACATGCCTTGCCATACTTAAAAATGTAAATTCTACATCTCAAGATTATCTGATTCCCCAAACAAGCAATGTTGACAGACTCAGTACTATGAAACATGGTTAATGCTTACCTGGGAAGACCACGGCACCAAATAAGACATATTTAGACCCTTCAGTTAGTTCAGCAGCATACCATGTATCGTGTGGAATAATAGATTGATACACACACTCTGGATTTTTCACTCCGTCACCTAACATAGTACATGTGTGCTTTCCATCTTTGTCGATTAAATGTACCTGACGACAGAAAATATTGACATTGAGCCTACAAACATGTTTACTTCTAGGTTATAAGCTATTATAAGAACAAAGAAAAAACAGAGAGTTATGAAAGGGCTTGTGTTGACCTTTTATGCTAAGGATTAAGTGAGTACATCTCATTCCATGGAAACTTTCAATGTTGTCTATTGCCTAATCTTTCAAGTTCAAGTTATGATCCAAACTTGATAACGGAATTCAAACGAATCAATACATTTAGAAAAGTACTTATAATATAGGATAACGTAACCATGTGTTCGCTACTCTCCCATCATCCTCAAAGATCAACTCAAAACAAACCATGGTTTAAAAAAGACTGTAAGATTATGCGTAATGAGTTCCACAGAGCAAGAAGGAAATACAAAAAAATTAAGACTGCTGATAACAAAACACTGATGAATATGAAGGCTAAAGAATACCGGCGTTACAACTTCTTAATAAGAATTATAAAAAATACAACGAAAATTGCGCAAACGAGCTTCGAGCGTTATCAAAAACAAACACAAAAGCATTTTGGAATACACTTCACAAATTTTCAAGTAAAAGAAAAGATAACCCACAGGTGGAGTTTGACACTTTTTTTGAATATTTTAAAAATTTAAATGCAAGTGAAGATAATGAGGGAGTTATTGATAGTATTTGTGAAAATCCTGTATATGATGAGTTATTAAATGGAAAAATAACAGAGTTAGAAAATATCTGAAGCAATATAGGAGCTTAAAAATAACAAAGCTCTAGGTACAGATAAAATTTTAAATGAATATTTGAAATATTCAACTCCATTGTTAATTTCTATATATTGTCAGCTTTTTAATTTAGTGTTAGATACTGGTATTATTCCAGAAAGCTGGACCAGTGGAATTATAAAACCTGTTTTTAAAAACAAGGGTTACCCGTCTGACCCTGATAATTTCAGGGCAATCACTCTTATCAGTTGCCTAGGGAAATTATTTACGTCTGTTATAAATTCTAGATTAAATATTTTTGCTTACTTATTGATTCTCATTTCCGAAAACCAAGCTGGTTTTAGGAAAGGATATTCAACAGTTGACATCATTTTTGTATTGCATACTCTAATTGAGTTATATTTTTCGTTTGGCAAGAAGCTTTATTGCACTTTCGTCGACTTTAGGAAGGCGTTCGACACCGTCTGGCGATCGGGGCTATGGACAAAACTACAAAATTGTGAGATTAAAGGTAAATCTTGCGTTCAGTATAATGGTGATCAGTCTGAATTTTTCCCTTGTCTAACTGGTGTACGACAAGGGGAAAGTTTATCACCGTTTCTTTTTTCTATATTTCTAAATGATCTAGAAAGTTATTTCAGTCAGTTAGAGGGAGAGCCTCTTAATATTATTTAAGAGAAGCTCGAAAGTGGTTGCACATTTTTTATAAATTATTTGTTATTTTATATGCAGACGACACTATTCTGTAATGACTTTTGTGTCTGAAAGTATGGAAGGTATGCAAAGAGCTCTAGACGTTTTTCAATCATATTGTGATATATGGAAACTGCAGGTTAATGTTAATAAAACTAAACTTATGATTTTTTGTAAAAGGAAATCAAGACAGAATTTTATTTTTACTTTGCAAGATTGTAATCTTGAAATTGTTGATACATACTCATACCTAGGTGTTATTTTCAAATATAATGGAACGTTTATTAACACAAGGAAAAAACTTGTAGAGCAAGCACAAAAGGCGTTATATTGCATTTACAAACTATTTAATTTCGTAATGAATCAATACTTATAGATATACAATTAAAAATGTTTGGTTCTATGATTGAGCCAATTTTATTGTACGGTTCAGAAGTGTGGGGTTTTGAAAACTTAAAAATTATTGAACAAATCCACCTGAAATTCTGTAAAAGAATTATGAAAGTTCGAAATTCAACTGCATCATTTATGGTTTATGGAGAACTTGGGAGGTTTCCACTCGAAATTCGGGTCAAATTGAGGATGATTTCTTTTTGGAGTAAATTAGTATTAAATGAAAATAAACTGAGCAGTACATTATACAAGTTAATGCTTTGCTTAAAAAGCAATCATGGGGTGAATTTCAAGTGGATAAGCCACATAGAATCTATATTTAATGAGTTAGGCATGAGCTTTATTTTTTTAAACCAGTTTGCTGTATACGAAAAGGATTTAGTAAAACAAATTTTGTGTGACCAGTTCATACAAATATGGTACAGTGACTTACACACCACATCGCGTGGACAATTTTATTCACTGTACAAAAAGAGTTTTGAAATAGAAAAAATATCTTATTAATTTACCAGAGTCATTTAAAATTTGGATTTCAAAATTTAGAACTGCAAATTTACGATTGCCTTTAAAAACTGGTAGATGGTACAATATACCAAAACTAGAAAGAATGTGTAATTTATGCAAAGAGGATATTGGTGATGAATATCATGTATTATTTATTTGTAAAAATGCAGATATAGTACTAGAATTGAGAAACAGATATTTACCACAATATTATAGAAATAATCCAAACATTGTAAAAATGGAAGGTCTTTTGTCACTTTGAAATGTTTAATTATATAAGAAAATGTCAGTGTTTATCAGAAAAACTGTCTTCTCTTCTTTAGATTTTATTTGTATTAATATAGTTAATTGAAGTCCAAAGTGCGAAGTTGTACTGTCATATTTATTTGTATTTAATCACATGTTCATTTCTGTCATATTTAATGTATATATGTTATCAATAATGACCTCGTGTAACACATTGTATATTTGTTTGAGTGTTTTCCTAATAAATCTTGAAATCTTGAATCTTGGTAATGATTCCGCCCCATTACTCGCAATGGTACAGCTAAAGAGTGAATCACTCCTGACAAACTTTACAATAACTACTTAGTAATTTTATCATATAAAGCTTTTATTTTCAAATTCGTGAAAGAAAACATCAGAATACGAGAAAATGCAAGTCTTAAGTGTAAAGCGAATATTTATTTAGACGAAGCTCTTGCTTGATCTATGAAGAGACAAGTGTTTAAATTGAAAAGATAGCATAACATAGATATCTCTATATGTGTTTTTTTTTACATTAATTTATCATTCTTTATTGTCATTTAATATGTTTCATGTGAATAAACGAAAGTATTCTATTTAAATAACGAATTCACTTTTGCTCCATTGCGAGTAATGGGGCAGAATCGTCACGGTAGCCCTGATAAGAGAGTAGAATATACACCTCCTGGTTATTTACCGTATCTATGTGATATGATACCCTTTGGTGTCTTTCGCCTCTCTTATAACCTTATAACAGTGTTGACATAACCTTCATGCAGCTACTCATATATAAATGATTCTATTGTGAAATAAATCATATACAGTGTTGACATAACATTCATGCAGTTACTCATATATAAATGATTCTATTGTGAAATAAATCATATACAGTGTTGACATAACATTCTTGCAGTTACTCATATATAAATGATTCTATTGTGAAAAAATCATATACAGTGTTGACATAACATTCATGCAGTTACTCATATATAAATGATTCTATTGTGAAATAAATCATATACAGTCTTGACATAACATTTATGCAGTTACTCATATATAAATGATTCTATTGTGAAATAAATCATATACAGTGTTGACATAACATTCATGCAGTTACTCATATATAAATGATTCTATTGTGAAGTAAATCATATACAGTGTTGACATAACCTTCATGCAGTTACTCATATATAAATGATTCTATTGTGAAATAAATCATATACAGTGTTGACATAACATTCATGCAGTTACTCATATATAAATGATTCTATTGTGAAATAAATCATATACAGGAGGAGTGATTCTTCCTCTTTTACTGTTATATAGTGTGTCTCTAGTCCTAAATTCTGGATTAGCCGTAGCTTTAAAACCATTAAAATCAGCGATGTCTACATACAATGTAGGCTTTGCTTTACAGTCGGTAGCATACATATTCCAAGGATAGTCAGGTAAACACGGATGCTTATGAGTCAATACATTTAACATTGTACATTCTAAAGGATTTTAACATTCTACTCAGAGTGCTTAATTATCGCAATGTTTGTGATGAAACTTAAAAATGTCATTGTGTATTTCTCTCATACCTACCTTAAGTGTTCCTCCTGCATGCCAGTTATAGATTTCATCCGACCTGACTTGGTGCCAGCTTATAAAATTAGGATTAATTAGGAGGGAGTATATGCTAGACCCGACGTCTCTTTTGCCATCATGCCTGAAAATATATTTCACTGTTATCGTTATGTTACTTGTATTGCAAAAATATACGCATTTGAAAGCTTTCATTTTCATCCTTGATAAGCTACATAGAAAATTTGCTTCTGTCAACGTTTTTACGCCCAATAAAACTACAAAAAGAAACATACATATGCTTCATTTAGTGAAATAAAATTAGCACCAGTGTCAAGCCAGGCGGAAATAACAGCATGCATAAATATTTATGATATGGGCCTCCGTCTATGTAATGTTCTTAATAACTAATGATTATTATAAAAAAAACATTTTACTGGATGTATTTTAAATATGGTTCTGCCATAGATGTAAGATGTTGTCACAACTGTAGACGGGAGTAATGTCTCTCTTTTTGGCATTTTATCCCTACTTAAGGTGATTTTATCCAAACTGAAATTCTCTGAAAATGTATTGTACCATTTTACACTCACGTAGTTTCCTGTGTAAAAGTTACTTGTCTATCACCTCTCCATACTTCTTTGAAGTACCCAGTTTCTGGATGATGTACCATTTTGAACTGTTCCACAATTTTCTGTATTTCCTTGTCAGCCATTTCACTATATAGAAGATACAGGGAGAAGTGTATGTAACGGCATACGTAAAGACACATTCAGCGACAAAGTTTCATACAACCACATAGCATGGCTATTATTAGTTACATAGTGTGCTAGTGACCTAATACGATATATATGGGGTCAGTAAATTCCATATGGGGTGAGAGCGAAGCTCGAATCCCCATATGGAATTTATACTGACCCCATATATATGATATCGTATTAGGTCAATAGCACATTGTGTAACGAATTTACACTGCACTCGTTCTATTTGAGCAGTCAAAATGCGTTGCCTGTATATTTCTATGTCATATACAGTCACTGACCCGATATCACTTTTCCTCATGAATATTTAAATAGTAGAGCCGGAACTATATTTAAATATTCATGACGACCTCTTCAACCTGTCCTTGTTTCCAATGTATACAACGAAGCGTGGAACGACTAAAACTTTTACAATTGTTGGAAAACCATATTTCACTTGTTAATATTTTTTGTTTAAAACCTATAAATCATTATGTTTTATGCTTATTGTTGATATTTTAGTCCATAATCAAACGAATTCGTTCACCATCGATTGGTTTCAACAGGTAACAAGTAATAGCTTTTCAAAAAAAGGCTAGCCGTCTCTTAGCTGATGAAAATGGAAAGTGTTCTCGCTTTGTAGATTAATTCATTCAGAATAGTCTTGCATATCAATCAACAAATTTTACCACTCACGTGAGGTCACACGTTATGAAGTAGTATATCGTTTAACGTTGTGTGTGTTTACAAAACTCCAGAAGATTCGACTATTTATAGATAAAAGTTACCTGTGTACCAATCTCATGAATATGCATGTTAAATGACCAGGCAAAATTTAATTGCTAAAATAGAGAGGACAAATCCGATACTCTACGGGATTGAAAGACATTTACTAGGTTTGGATTGTCCTAACCAATCAACAGACTTTGATTATTCACGTCTCGTAATATCTTCCAATCAGGTAGTAAGAGGCATTCACGCACTGACTGTCCATCGTTCAATTCTTAATAACGTCTCCGAGGAGACGTTAATCAATGCGACTTTCGAATTACATAGTCGAACAGTGGCAAATTAATCATTTACAGAATTGCACTGATCATCGCGGCAAATTAAGTAAAGTTAGAATTTCGACATAACGGAATTACGTATTTATAATTTAACTATAACCGTGTTGTTATTTGTAGCGTTTGATTTCCATTCTCCCCTAATAATCAAATGGTCTTCCTATCCGCTTACCTACTACTCCATAGTTAGTAATATAACTCATGCAGCGAGTATCTCTTTCCGAAACTCGACTTTTGCAAATCACATCTTCGACTTTTTCAACTCACAACTCGACTTTTGTAACTTTCAACTCGACTTTTGTTAATCGCAACTTGATAGACTTTCTTATTCACACCTCGACCATGTAACTCGCAACTTGACTTTCTGAGCTCGCAACTCCACTTTTTTTTTAATTCGCAACTTGATACTCTACATTATGTTTATCGCATACTATACATACTTAAGATTAGTATGTAGTCAAAAGTCACTACGGTATGTAATCAAAGTACTGAAGTACTGAACATCGGATGACTGCAAGTTCTTGTGGATGGTCACAAGCACTTGTGTCAGAAAAAAAAACACATCTCATACCTGAAAGTGAGGTTATATAATGTACAGATATAATTTTTTTTCCTTAGACAAGTTCGTGCGTGGATGATAAATAAATGACAGGGAATTCAACCTCACCGTAATAAATATGATATTGAAGTGATACAAATCAGTATACATTGGTTTGTTGTTATATATTATATTAATATTTGTATATTACAGTTACATGTATATATAATTTTCATCCATTTGTATATCATTCTATTTTACTATATTAATAATAGTGCAGTGCAAATGCATGGTCGACACTCTTCTGTAATAATTCAATTTTTCTAATAGATTGGATTTGAGTAGGCATTCATATTTTCCTGCCAAACTTTCAATCTCCCATGCAGAGTTATCGGTCCTTGAGAGAGAGCGAGGACCGATAACTCTGCATGGGAGATTGCAAACGTTCTTGAGATATTCTTCTGCATGCGTTAACACACATTTTCTGTAAGTGTGCATAGATATTAAAGATTTTTTACTTAAATATAAATTTCTAACGACAAAACATTTTCATATGATTAATTTATGTTCTAAAAAAAATATTTTTAGGAGTATCCATTGAAAAAATGAATTTATAACTGAATTGAAACGATAAGGAATGTTATTTTTGCACTCGATAATGTCCGCGTTTTTATCATGTTTATAGATCGGTTACAATCCCAACACGAAAGTTACGTAATGGAAATCTAGGCGACAGCAAAATGATACACCGGAATGCCCTCATGGTCATCCGATGTAAACATCACCACGATCATGACATGATTGTTAGGACAGTAACAGTCGTCCATAATAGGGTATTAAGAAATGACCATATGCGTTGTGCCCTATCAGCTGCCTATACTTTTTGACATGGGATATGACTGGAAAACAAGACCTTTCAAATATAAATGCAGGCCCACAGAGATTTTTCAGAGATATAAACATCAAAATATTTCTAATAAATATGATAAAGCAATTTAACTTACTCTGCCTTTTCACGCACACTTATCTAGGTTATATATTTTAGGGTGTATTTATTTAAGGATGACAACAGAGACATAAACAGATAAAATCGCATTTGTAAGTTACCTATACATCTATCCAAACATATACCATTACAAAGTTAATTGACTTATTCTAAAGGTAAAAGTTTGTTTTTTTTTATTTTAAAAATGATTGTGGATCTTTATTTGATACTTTTTTTAAAAGTATTTACAGAACCTATAGAAGTTATAAAAATGTACCAACAAATTCGAATGATACACAGCAAAGGTTTATAACTCTTCTGAATTTAAGTCATCAAGGAAAACGATTGATTGATTGTTGGTTGCTTTACATTCAGTGGAAAATATTTCATGCATGTTCAGGGCGATCAAGGAAAACGAAATCGGACTAATTCTTACATATTTAATGCGAATAAAAATTGGGGAGATCATACAACTATGTGCAATAAACAAACGACCTAAACTAATAATTGTAAAAAATGTTGTCAATTTTTTTAACGGATACAGGTGAGAATTCAGGATTTTGAAAAAAAGGGGGCCCCTAGAGAGCCAACGTTTGGAGATATTCTTGTAAATAGTCTATGCATTTATCAAATATATTTTTGCTCCACAAAAGGGGCGGGCCCCTTGTCCCACTAAATCTGCCTCTGAGATAATATTTTTTGTAAGTACATTTTTCCCCTGAGCATAACTTTTAAGTAATTGAAAATTTGTGTATTTCAGGAATATGTATTATGCTAAATAGGAATATCGAGTTGAGTAGGAACAAGAAACTGAAGAACTTGTGTTTGTTCTTACATTTTTGCATATTTGTTTTGTCATGTTTACTAATATGCAGCAAAGATAAACTTAAAAGTAATAGTAGTGAATCAAGCTTCTTCCGAATTTATCAAATAATATATTTTGTATATGACCTGATCCCCGTACACGGACCAATATACCGTCAGTATCATAGTGCCAAATCAAGCAATGGGCATCCGGTGTCGCCAGTTTTGTCAAGTATGTAAAGAGGGAAATGGGGTATCTTGAACTTTATAATAAACTGCTCAGCACTACAGAGGATAAGAAGTAACTTTTTAAACCTTATACATGAAGTGTTAATAGTAAATTTAAGGAATTGGTTATTACATAGGAATTAATGACCAGCGATAAAAAATAATCCATGTCAATTAATCGTTGACTGCTCAAAATACAGGTTTATCGAGGAAAACACAAATGAGAGGATAGAAACATTATTTAGAGGTCTTTGTCATTAACTATTCCAACAACGGGCAATATTAATTGAATATTAATGTTTAAAATAAAACATTTTTTTTTTAATTTCTAACTTTAAAATGAAGGTCTTGGGCTTAAGATGGTGGATTCTTGACTGAATAGTGTGTTTACATTTTATCATTACAAAAATGAAGAAGCCGCTTTTATATATTTAATCCATGGACTGTTATGCTGTATCATGACATGTGCATGATGTGTAAGTAGTGGTGATGCTTTTGGTTACACATGTACATGCCCAAAAAATTGCCAAGAGGAGATATTTAGTATCTCTTTTACTATGGAAAGCCAACGGGGTCAAAATTCTTATTTCGTAACTTGTCAATTTGTAACTTGTATCTTTGTAGTTTCAAAATTCTTACTTCGTAAATTGTCAATTTGTAACTTGTATCTTTGTAATTTGAAAACTCGTAATTCGTAAATTGTTAATTTGTAACTTGTAACTGTGTGATTTCAAAATTCGTTATTGGTAAATTGTCAATTTGTATATTGACGTTTTGTAACTTGTCGATTCGTTAAATGTCGATTCGTAAATTGTCAATTTGTATATTGTTGTTTTGTAACTTGTCGGTTCGTTAAATGTCGATTCGTAAATTGTCAATTTGTATATTGATGTTTTGTAACTTGTCGTTTCGTTAAATGTTGATTTGTAAATTGTCAATTTAAAATTGAGAATGGAAATGGGGAATGTGTCAAAGAAACAACGACCCGACCATAGAGCAGACAACAGCCGAAGGCCACCAATGGGTCTTCAATGCAGCGAGAAACTCCCGCACCCGGAGGCGTCCTTCAGCTGGCCCCTAAACAAATATGTATACTAGTTCAGTGATAATGGACGTCATACTAAACTCCAAATTATACACAGGAAACTAAAATTAAAAAATGATACAAGACTAACAAAGGCCAGAGGCTCCTGACTTGGGACAGGCGCAAAAATGCGGCGGGGTTAAACATGTTTTTTGAGATCTCAACCCTCCAACTATACCTCTAGCCAATGTAGTAAAAACAAACGCACAACAGTACGCACAGCAAAACTCAGTATAAGAGAAGTCCGAGTCCGATGTCAGAATAAGAAACAAAAGAAAATAAACAAAATGACAAT